ACAAAAAAAGATGTGAAATGCCACTTAGAAAATTATATGGCTCTACATGTCATGTAGCAAGCTGAATTCTAACAGGCTGATATCATGGGGCAAGAATTGGCTGGTCAACTTTAATGCCTCAAAAACTAAACTACTAACCACCATAGAGATCCTTCCCTGCCCCCCATTAAAATGTCTGATAGTCAACTTCCTGAGAGCAACTGCCTGCGTCTGCTTGGTCTCACATTGACTGCTGACCTGAGATGGAACAAATACATTGAGTCAATTGCTTCTTCCGCTGCGAGGAAAGTTGGCTCTCTGTGCCGTGCCAGGAAATTTTTCTCCCCAGAATCGATACTTCAAATATATAAATCAACCATTCATCCTTGCATGGAGTATTGCTGCCATATATGGTCTGGGGCACCTTCTGTTTACCTCGGAGTTCTTGACAAGATCCAGAGACGGATATGTAATATAATTGGCCCTGATCTGGCGTCTCATCTGCAGTCACTCTCTCACAGATGCGCTGTCGCCTCTCTCTGTCTTTTCTACAAATACTTTCATGGTAATTGCTCCGATGAGTTGCTTTCACTGGTTCCCAGACTCCATGAATTCAAGCACCCTACGAGGCTGGCATCCCGCTCCCACCCTTACACTATAGAAATTTTTAAATGTAGCCGTCTCTTCTACTCCAATAGCTTCATACCTCACACCTCTCGCCTGTGGAACACTCTTCCCAATTACTGTTTCCCTGAGAGCTATAATCTCCATCTATTCAAATGTAATGTCAATCGACACCTCCAGTTACCTTGATCTACCCACTATCCTTCTCCTCATCCTTTCTTCTATCACTCCTATCTGCTCTTGCTCCAAATCTTCTGCAACCCCTTGCATCCTATTGGCTTCACACCTTGCTCAGGGTGTAATGCTTAAAAAAAAAAAAAAATAATGTAAACAAAAACAGATGTGAATGGCCACTTAAAAAATTATATGGCTCTACATGTCATGTAACAAGCTGAATTCTAACAGGCTCATGTAATGTAAACAAAAAAAGATGTGAATAGCCACTTAGGAAATTGCTGATCTAAAAGGGAGGTAACTTTAAAAAATTGAATTCTTAGAATCTAAATTAACAATGTATAATTACGTGGAATTTATCAGACATTATTTCAATTCCTTAAACATATTTTCACTCTTTTTTTTGTTACTAACCCACAAATTACAAATGACTGTGAGTTACCTCACTTTTATGATTTTCAATGGCCTGTTTTGTAAATGAACGCTATGAGGTAAATTTTGTACCTCATAGTCCATTGCAGTTAACGATTAAATTATAAAGTTTGTTGTGATATTTGGTTTAAAAAAAATGGTTAACAAATTTGTTGCATTTGAATGTTCTAGTGGATATGTTAGTAACTGTGAAAAAGTATCGACATTTTCTTTTCCTCTTGGAAAATCCAACTTTGTAGAAAAATGGATAAAATCCGTTAACCATATTGATTAGTTTCCTACAAAAAATTCAATTCTCTGTATGAAACATTTTGAAGAGAAATTTATTTTGAAAGGAAAATGAAACAAACTGAATTGGGATCTACATCCAATATTTACAATACAATCAGAAAAAGTAAGACAATTGTCTTTTTTGCGGAATACAAGGGAATTCAGAAAGACTCCAAAACACCGACTGGTCCAAACTGTTGAATTACATGATGTTATTTCTGTTGATACGATAAAGGATTTTACTCAATTGGAAGTAGCAAAGTGTTGTCCTAACAGTTTTGAACTTAAAAAAAAAGATTATATTCTAATTTATAGAAGTCTTTGACTCTGAAATACATTTTCCATCTAATAAAAGAATGTATTTGCATTGACCAAAACCTTTACATCCAGCTCCAGCATAATGGACCTTATATACAATTACAACAGTGGTTTATACATGGACATAATGCTAAACTCACAAAATTTAGCATGTTAGAAAATTTTCAAACTACATACAAAATGTGGTGGTAAAACAACCATACTTAATTCTAAAAGAATTACAAAAAAATAGACAACATGGCATTAACTAAGAGGCTGTGAATAATTTTCTGTCGAATTAATATGTTATGCCTTACTACTGTGCTATACATCTTATTGTGCAAAATATGTTTTTACTTGAGAACATCATACTGAAAAAGGAATTCACCTTGCAGCAAAAATTGTTGTGAATATATTTTAAAACATCAAATGAAAGTTTTCATTGGATGAAGTTTGAAAATATTGTAGAATTTTTTTAAAAAAAAAGAAAAGGTCAAAAGAAAATTGATTTATCAAGAAACTGTTGGTAAATTTTTTCATTTGTTTTGTATTACTGCTTAATTCTTTAATAACTTTGTTTACAATCTTTTATTATTACTTTTCTGTTTAAAAAGAGACAGAAAAAAGAACCTGTTTGTTTATTTTTGGACAGTTTTAACATGTTTTAGATAAAACAGACATAGATTGACAAATAGGCGTGTTAGAAATTAACCTGAAATGCAACATGTGGAACCGTATATATTTGTAGGCCATTAGATGTGCTACATTTTAATCCAAAAAAGATGCACTTATTATAAAAGCTGTTTATTCTATTGTTGCATTCTTGATACTTTTTATCTTCTGTATTTTTTTGTATGTTGTTGAATAATTTTAAAATTCTACCTTTTTCTTTTCCGTTCTAGCATCATGTCAATGAATGAGTGTGTAAAATATTTCTACAAATCTACAAGTAAGAAAAATTCACTTTTGTTTCATTTGGAAATTGCTTTCTTTTCTATACAATTCAAAGAAAAACAAATTGACTCAGTAAGACTTTGATCTAAAATTTGTGGAAACTATTTTTTTTTACACAATTGTTCACCTAATGCTAGGCTCGTGAGCCACTCAAGATAGAGTTACTGAATGAAGCTGTTTATGTTCATAAAAAGAGAGGTAAGAAATGTAGATTATGAAGATATGTAGGAAAGATAATGGTTGATTTGAGACTTGAAGGAATTAATATTGTAGTAATCAGGGAAGCATCCTCTCGGGAGTGTTCTACAAAGCAGCAGTTTTTGGGAAGAAGCTAAGTGGAACTTTCTTGTTTCTAGTGGAATATGAAAGACCCAATCTGTTTGGACAGTTTTTGATTAAAAGTGTTCAATGTTGGTGTGCTGTTCTTTCACTTAACAATAAGTTGGGTGTGTGTCCCCTAAGGCTGACACACTGTGCATCTCTGTACATGAGCAAGAGTATTTAGGGTACAATCATGGCTCAGAAAGGGTTGCTTTTTTTTTTATTTTCAGTTTGAAGGATAAGGCATCCAAGGTGTCTTGGGTGTTACATCTGGGTACTTGGGTGTCACATCTGGATGCTTGGGTGTCACATCTGGATACTTGGGAACACCCTCAATCAGAGACTGTCTCTACAGATTGTGTTACCCAACCTTTGTAAGTTTAGCACCATATCACACACATTTGGCTGTGATGCATGTGCCTGATATACCTTTATCCAACTAAGTGTTATGACATGTATTGGGCTTCATATATTGGTATTCCAACATGTGGTTCTATCACTCAGTAATAATTATAGTTGGTGGGGGGAGGTTCAGAATTTAAGCTAACCCTAATCTATATTATAAACTGATTTATGAAAGGAGATAACTACAGGTATATTAAATTCCTATTATAGAGTAGTTTCTCTTATTAATTTGCAAGTAATTTTCTGTATTTTAGTATGATTTGTTTGTGGACTTGTTAACATAGAGTAATACATAAAGTAGTTACAATAACATAGTACATAAAGTAATTACCATAGAGTAGTACATTCTAGCAAGAATTTTCTTAGGAAATTACTTTATTCTTCAAGTTGGTTCAATACCAACTTGAAGAATAATTTTCAACTTAACAGTGTGCTTTTATGCTTACTGCAAATGATTTAGTTTTTCAAAGTTGACAAGATTTACAGAGTAGTTACATTTCAAACATTTACAGAGTAGTCTCCCATTATTTATTTGGACCTATGATAGAAATTCTGTAAATATGCAGTAGTTTTCTATTTAGCTTATTAAGAAACAGTGACATTTGTTAAAAGTGGTTCTTTCAAGACAATGTTAAATAATGTATCACCTTGATGTTCATTGTCAATAGTCAGGTCAACCAAACTTATGTAATCGATACAGGCATTCTCTAAAGATCTTATGGGAGAATGAAAATTAAATAACGAATAAAATAAATAATAAACATTAATAATTAAAAAAAAAGATAATTTCATTTTCCCATAATGCAAATGGAAACCAAAAAAAGAAATGGTTTCTGGTCACATGCAAAGTTTGTGACTTTACTTTCGGAAAGGAGATCATCTTTCTCTTGATACTTTTGAATCGTTAGATTTGGATGTGTTTTGCAGTGGTCATAAGATAAAGGTCATTCAGTCACCCTCTCTAAATGTCATGTTGACTTGAGGTCAACCACTCTCTTACCTCTGAGTTTAGTACACACACATGCATCAATAAAAAATTGACCCTTAATTTTCTAACCAAGTTTTTGTATCCCTTATTAGGGTCCAATGATATTAGCATCTTCTGATACTGGACGAAAAAAAACAAATACCAACCCGCAACAATTTCTCCTCATCCCTACCTTTCTTCTCTATATTAACGATCTGCAACAGAAAATTCTCAGGTCATAAGTGAATATCTACATAGATGATACCACAGTTTATAAATGCACCTTTAAAAAATCTAGATGACCAGAGCCTGGCAGCTGATCTCCCTTCTGACTTAGGGGTGAAAGACTGGTGTTTTGTTATTTTTAGGTTGATTTGGCTTTTGAAGGTTATTTAGAGCCAGTAAATATTTTTAGATTGTAAGATTTTTTTTTAGAAGTTGGGGGTGAAGAGGTGGTATTTCATACCTTTCCTAAGGGTATTTGTGCATAAGTGAAAATAACCTAATGGTAATTTGAATTTGGTTCTCTGATTAACAATTCATAATAATTATTCATTACACCATCCCCACATCCAAGCTTACAGCACCTGATATTCCCAAGTGGTCACCCACCTAGGTACTGTCCAGGCACAAGGTTGCTTAACTTCAGTAATTATATGGGAACAGATGTTTCAACATGATGTGGCCACAAGCCTAAAGACTGGTTTGTAACATTTAATATCTGAAAATTCAAGATAGTAACTTTTCATCACACCTCTCACCAACCCTCGCCAGATTGACCCAGAATTCTCAACAGTAACAGTGAATTGTTGCAATCTAAAAGAGGCCATTTTTATTGAACATCTATTGGAGCAGAAGTTCACCACAGATCTCAAGCAGAACTCGTATGTATGATCCATAACTAAAGATGCTGGAAAAATGGTTGTCCCCTTATACAACTCCAGAGAATATTTGATTTCATCTAGTACACTTCATCTTTACAAGAGTAAGATCAGACCAAAAATTAAATATTGATGCAATATTTTGGCTGGAGATGCACAATCATTGCTTTCCAGGCTTGACAGAATTACAAAAAAGTTGAATTATTTTCCAACTTACAGTCTATTTCCCACAGGTGAAACATTACAAGCGTCTTGCAGCACATATACAATTTCCATGGAAAATATTTGGATATGCTACATTCCTTAGTTCCAGCAGTTCAGGCCTATAGAGCTAGGCCTCTCGCTAATCTATTGCTATTTCTATGGCAAATGTTCAGATGAGCTACATTCCTTAGTTGCATCAGTTCAGACCTTTACATCTAAGCCTCTCTCTATATTGCTATTTCTATGGCAAATGTTCAGATGAGCTACATTCCTTAGTTCCATCAGTTCAGACCTTTACATCTAAGCTTCTTTCTACTCTATTGCTATTTCCCTGGCAAATGTTCAAATGAGTTACATTCCTTAGTTCCACCAGTTCAGACCTTTACATCTAAGCCTCTTTCTACTCTATTGCTATTTCTATGGCTAATGTTCAGATGAGCTACATTCCTTAGTTCCACCAGTTCAGACCTTTACATCTAAGCCTCTCTCTATTCTATCGCTATTTCCATGGCAAATCTTCAGATGCACTACATTCCTTAGTTGCATCAGTTCAGACCTTTACATCTAAGCCTCTCTCTAACCTACTGCTATTTCTATGGCATATGTTCAGATGAGCTACATTCCTTAGTTCCACCATTTCAGACCTTTACATCTAAGCCTCTCTCTAATCAATTGCTATATCTATGGCAAATTTTCAGATGAGCTACATTCGTTAGTTCCACCATTTCAGACCTTTACATCTAAGCCTCTTTCTACTCTATTGCTATTTCCCTGGCAGATGTTCAAATGAGCAACATTCCTTAGTTCCACCAGTTCCGACATTTACATCTAAGCCTCTCTCTAATCAATTGCTATATCTATGGCAAATTTTCAGATGAGCTACATTCGTTAGTTCCACCAGTTCAGACCTTTACATCTAAGCCTCTCTCTAATCTATCGCTATTTTCATGTCAAATGTTCAGATGAGCTACATTCGTTAGTTCCACCAGTTCAGACCTTTACATCTAAGCCTCTCTCTAATCTATCGCTATTTTCATGTCAAATGTTCAGATGAGTTACATTCCTTAGTTCCACCAGTTCAGACCTTTACATCTAAGCCTCTTTCTACTCTATTGCTATTTCCCTGGCAGATGTTCAAATGAGCAACATTCCTTAGTTCCACCAGTTCAGACCTTTACATCTAAGCCTCTCTCTAATCAATTCTATATCTATGGCAAATTTTCAGATGAACCACATTTGTTAGTTCCACCAGTTCAGAAGTTTACATCTAAGTTCTCTCTAATCTATCGCTATTTTCATGTCAAATGTTCAGATGAAATACATTCGTTAGTTCCACCAGTTCAGACCTTTACAAAAAAGCCTCTTCTAATCTAAAAAGTCCATGTTTATGGCAAATGTTCAGATGAGTTACATTCCTTAGTTCCACCAGTTCAGACCTTTACATCTAAGCCTCTCTCTAATCTATTGCTATTTCTATGGCAGATGTTCAGATGAGCTACATTCCTTAGTTCCACCAGTTCAGACCTTTACATCTAAGCCTCCCTCTAATCTATTGCTATTTCTATGGCAGATGTTCAGATGAGCTACATTCCTTAGTTCCACCAGTTCAGACCTTTACATCTAAGCCTCTCTCTACTTTATTCTTATTTACATGGAAAATGTTCAGATGAGCTACATTTGTTTCTAAACACATAACTTGTATGTGCTCTTATTCATTGAAGTATTTTTTTTACAAAATGTTATTTTGCTTTGAACAGCTGAAAATTCAAAATATGATTTTTTTTTTCCGAGACTAAATTTTACACCTTACTTTGTTTTGCAAAATCAACATGACCAATGTTTATCAATATTCTGAAATTGTACTTAATTAAATGTCCCCTAAAACTACAACCAGGTTTGATGTTCATTTCATTAATGACCAGTGGACTTCAAATTTTTAAAAATTTTTATTGTTAAACAAAAAAAAAAGAAAAGAATCAATCAATTCAAATAAATAAATGCGTAAAAAAGAACTTTCAAATTATTGAAACTATTATCTGACACTGACAGACACTTGTTTTGATTTAAGTTTATTTATTAAAGTTTTGAATAAATTTTCAGCAGAAGAAACTAAGAATTTATGGAATGGAAATTGGTAAAAAAATCAGCATTTTTCACTGAGTTGGAACAAATGAATAATTTAGACATGATCTGAGTGTGTACTTTTAGTTGGATCATCTCGTATTCACAGTTAAGCTTCTATTTACCAGTTTGAAATAAGTAACTAGGACATTTTATTGTTCTGTCATATGTATATAAATATATGTATATATGTAAGATACATGCATATATAGGTGTGTGTATATATATATATATATATGCATGACTATATATACTTGTATATATATGTGCATATGTGTTTATATATGTGTGTATATATATGTGTGTGTATATATACATGTGTATACAAACAATTGTTTATATGTGTGTATATATGTGGGTATATATATACAGATGTGTGTACATATATATGAGAGTATATATGTATGTGTGTATATATGTTTTGTCTATATAAATATATGTATATATATATGGTATATATGTGTGAAATGTATATATATATATAAATAAAATGATAAATATATGTATATATATATATATATATATATATAAATTACGGCATGTGAATATATATATATTTTTATATGTACATAATTGTGTGTGAATATATATATATATTGTATATTTTTGTGTGTATATATCTGTATATATTTATGTGTGAATATGTACATATATATGTTATACATTTATATACATAAAAAATATTGTTACTGTGGAGATATTTAGACATATATAACTATATTTATTTTTTATAATTATGTCTATGTTTTTATACTATATATATACATATATATACATATATATATATAAGTCAAACCAAAAAACCAGACAAACCTGCAATCAACAAACCTTTGAAATTTGTTTTGATCATTAGCAAGTGAAAAAATCAAAAGATGAATTTGAGACAAGAGTTAGATAATTTTGGTTTATATATATATATATATATATATATATATATATATTTATAACATAAATATACATATATATATATATACATTTTAATGATTAAAACATATATGCAATATAGAATATATAAATGTTTGCATATATCTTTATATAAATGTATTGATTGTATATGTGTATTAAAATTAAATTTATCTAAATGAAGACTGATGATACACCAATTCATTAATTAACCTGAAAAATCGAATCATCTTAAATAATAGGTTTTAAAGGTATAGATGAAATAAATAGAAATATAAAACATATGGGAAAGTTCTTAACTCCCTTTTGTCCAGAAAAGAAAAGCTCTTATCAGAACACAAGAAAAATTAAATAAAAGTTTAATTGTAAATAATTTTGTCTATAAAGGAAGGATTTATTTTAAATACTTAAATATATACATATATATTTATATATATATAAATATATATATATATTTATATATATATAAACATTGTGTGTGCTGTGTATTTAAAATCCCATCACCAACAACAAATTGATAGAACCTCATTAAACAACAAATAAACAAAGATTCATATAATTCATGTTAAATGAAGGATTTCAAGAAATTCCCATTGAAAACATAATTTAATTTTTAAACAAAAAGCAAAAAACTAATACTTTTGTTATTTTAAATAAACATTGAGTACCACCAAAAATTACAGGCCATGAAGAATTCATCATAATAAATTTATTGTTTTTTTTATTAAAAAACTTTCCTCAACTAAAAAAACCATATCAATAAACTTATTACTTCTAACAATGCTGAAATAGGATCTCTATAAACTTCAAAAGATTATAGGTGACTTATTTACCTGGCTACCTTTTAAAAAAAACAAAAAATATAAAAAATTGATCATCCCCTTTGATGGTATCATTTCACAAATACCTACAAATCATTCTATTACCTTTCAAAATAAATTAACAAATTAGAGAATTTTCCTAATTATTAGGAATATTGTATTAAGTCCACAAATGAATTTATACAAATTCTTCATGCTGGAAAAAACCAAACAACTAAATAATCACATCTTTGGATGTATTCCATTTATTGTTTAATGTAGAAGATCTATGAAATACACTTTTATCCGTGATACATGAAAAAAGATGATTTAAAGTCTGGATGGGATTAAATTAACAGACAACATTTGGAATGTCTCCATTTTAAAAAACATTTAGAAAATAATTTACTTAGTGAGTTTTATGCAACCCCCTATTAAATGTTGTATACCTTATATTATTTTTTACCTTTTTCGTTAAAAAAATCATTAATCAAAAATTACACAACTTAAAAATATATTTGAATTTCATCTAAATCTTCAAATATCATTAGAATTAATGCTAATAATAAAATTCCATTCTTATGTATTTATTTAATCCCAAAAATATCTTTTAAATATATTATATATATAAAGCCAACATTATGCTCTAAGTGGTTTGATTTCTCATATATATATATATTTATAGAACAATACAATATAAATTGATAGTTCAATAATAAATATTAAAATGCCCCTTTCATTCAATGATTTTTCCATATAGATAAAACATAAAATATATATAA